TGTGACCTAGGTTGGTGTCTGTGACATAGGAATTGTGACTGTGACTCACTGAAATAGAGTTGCGACAAGTAAAAATTTTGATTTATTTTTTCAATCTGTGACCTAAGTAACTAAAAAAATAATCTGTGACCTAGAATTTTTTGATCCGTGACCTCGAAATAATATGTGACATAAAATTTTAGATCTGTGACCTCGAAATAATCTGTGACCTACAAAATTTTTTATCTGTGACCTGGAAATAATACGTGATCTACAAAAATTTTTATCTGTGATCTCGAAATAATCCGTGACCTACAAAATTTTTGATCTGTGACCGATAAAAAAAATGTGACCTATAAAATTTTAGATCTGTGACCTTGAAATAATCCGTAACCTATAAAATTTTTTATCTGTGACCGGAGAATAGTCACCGGAGTGGTCGCCAGTCATCGGAGCAGATGGTNTAAATATATTTAGTTTGTTTTAGATTTATTTCTAGTAAAATATAAATATATATTGAATTAATGGTATAAAAGTAAATACTAGACAGGAAAAATATATACGCGAAACCGGCGGTTTAAAATCGGATCAAACCGTTAGGTTTAGGTTTGAGTTTTTTTCAAACCGATCAAAACGATTTGGTTTAGGTTTGAGTTTTTCTCAAACCGGTCAAAACGATTTGGTTTGAAAATTTGTCAAAAACCGCAAAAACCGGACCACTTACCCCCGTGATACAAACCCTGCAAATTAGCTCCCATTACATTATTCCATCTCCCGTCAACAGAGAATCCGCCACTGCCTCAGCCCCTGCATCCACGCCGGCCACTGCATCCGCGCACCGTTGCAGACTCGCACGTCCCCTGAACCACAGAACCAGGCCCAGGCACCCAGCTTCCAGCGTTCATCTGGTAGGTGAGTTTTCTATAATTTCAGTTGGTATTCATCTGGCGTCTGCTATAGTGCTATTGGCTGTAGAGTGTAGACTATATGCAATGGGTATTGTTGGGTAACTACCTCGCTTATTAGTTATTTACAGGGGAGGAAATATGAAGTGAATAACCACAACTAAATGGCTTCTGTAATCTTGCAACTGGCGGGGGTGTGGTTAGGGACTATGAGGGTATTGTTTTTATTTGCCTTATATGAATTCTATAGAGCATCTTCTTGCTGTTGTTGCCTGGTGCCGGTTGGGGAAAATTTTGAAACCCAGTTGGAGGAAATACGGTATTGGAGCAGGGGCTGTGCCTGTTTGGGGAAAATTTTGAAACCAAGTAAATTGTTGCAAATGCAATCTGCAGTCTTTTGTACCAGTTGGGCTTTGAATTTTCAAACAGAAAGTTTGCAAGAGAGCCATTGCTCATGAATTGAACTAGATTTTTGTGATTAGTCCTGCTAATTGAGGTTACTTCCGCTTTAAATTCTTCCTCAATCCTCACCTTCTGTAGCCATCTTATGCATCTTTTTCACAGCAACTATAGTTTCAGTATTTGAAAAATTTCTTGGGTCCGCCCCGGATGCTGGTACATTTGTTCTAAGTGCCTATTACTGGCATAGTATAGGAAGGCATGGGCAGAAATTTTCAGCTAGCCATTTCTACCATTTTAGCTGTTTATGAATGGAAGCAATTGATTTTTGCTTGTGATGTGCCAAATTTAAGAACTAACCATTTAATCATGTCATAGGTCTTGCTGCATGATGTTTCCTTTCTGTTGTGATATGAATCTTTAGATTTGATGTACTCTTTCTGGATTTTCTCAATTGCATTTATATTAGAGTTATTTTTTCCTATTAAAATCAGGTTGCCTTTAGTTTCGGGAATTCTGAAGTCGTAAAGTCTCTGTGTGTCGAACTTGATGATCGCTTTCTTGATATATGTAGAAAGATTTTAATCTATACATAGAGTATCATGGTTTTGAAGGATTTTGTTGCTGTAACGATTTATTGAATGGAGCAGCAAAAAAGTATGTATGTAGTCGTTTCAAAATTATTGCAAATAAGGCTAAATTTTGTTCTTATTGACTCGTTCTCTTTATCTCTAGACTGCGCTCTCGCTCGTGCTTACACAGTTAAATCTTCCCTATATCTGGCTAATATATATGAATATATTTTTTGCAGTTGTGAGCTCGTGAAGTAAAGATGGTGAAACTGACTATGATTACTCGTGTCACCACTACCTTTTCCGCAATCCCAGAATTTGTGAAACACGAGTAACAAAAATACACACAAACCCATACTATTTTGTAGTTTCAACTTTCGAAATACCAAGCTAACAAAACCAATTCTGTGTCTTTAAGCTATTGGAGTTGTTTTTCTTTCTTCCCGTTTTGTGCTTCAGCTTTCAAAAAATTATAATGGGGTCTTCGAATATTAGTGACATTTTAACTTCCTTCAGTCCATCTATGGACTTCTTTGCTATCAGCCCCGGTGATGGTCGAATAAAGGTACTCGTTAAACAATTGAAATCATAATTTAATATCAGAAACAAGTGATATGTAATTAATAAAAGTGCAGTGTATTAGAAGTATAAGTAGTTGAAACTTGGAGGTGATTGTGATTTTTTATTTACATTGTTTATGGAGATTTAACTGATGCTTGTGTTTGGGCATTTTTCAGATATGGGACACCGTGAAGGGTCAGGTCCAAACAGAGTTTTCTGATGTTACTTCAAATGAAAGTACGGGTATATTTGGACAGGGAGGAGGACACCTTTCAATGGATTATACATGTATGAAGTGGTTGTCAGTAGACAAAAAGGTTTGTTTTTGCATATAATGTAGCTGCTATATTCTTGTTGCTTTAAATTTGTTAGCATGTTCGGTTATGCCTGTTTGTTTTAATGCTGAATAATATGTTGGGTGTCCAGAAAAAAAGGAAGCTTGGAACTTCTCTATTGGTGTTGGGAACGGGTGGTGGCGATGTTCTGGCATTGGATGTATCTGCTGGTCAGTTGAAATGGAGGGTTAATGACTGTCTTCCTGGGTGCGTTTTTTAATGAAAACTTGTTACCTTGCATTCTTTTGTATGCTGAAAGAATGTAAATCTTGCAAGTTCCATTAGCTTTCATCTAATGTATTTGATTTGTATGTGATGTTTAATGAAAGGTAGTTTTTTAAGGCCTTGGACAAGATTTTGTTTGGATTCCTACGGACTTGTTTAATCCTTTTGATCAAATATTTAAGTGTATGTAAATGCAAATAAGTAATTCTCAAATGTTTGTATTCTTTTGTCACTCTCACCTTCTTGTGTCTTGTTACACTCCTATACTATTGAATTTCATGGATTATCGAAAGAAGAAATGGGCTTTTTTAAGTTTTTGAACATCTCATATATTGAAAGGACATATTTAGTTTATTTAACTTAAATTTAGAAAGAAGTGCTAGTAATTGTGCGATTTTGTTTCTTGATTCTAGGAAGAAGTTCCCATATTATGTAACAGAGCAGTTTAATATTATTTGGGGTTGTATCAAGGTGCATACTTGGACCGAGATTGAAAAAAGAAAATGATTATTATTCTAAATTTCCTGAAGATATATGATGTGACAGTAGGATGAATACTTTTGAAGTTTGTGAAATAAATACAAACGAGTTTAAGCCCCTGTTTGAAACCCATTCTGAGGAGAAAAGAAATTTTAGAATAGTGATTGATGTGAGAATGTGTGGTGGAAAAGTGATAAAAAGTTTTTGATTTGTGTGTAATATTATTTTATTTGGAGAATATGTGGCTGAAATGAAGAATGAGAGTGAGAATGAGAAATTAATGGGTGTCAAACGGGGGCTAAATGGATGGTATAAATCCTATATGTGCCAAAGTGAAAATGCAGAATTTGGGTTTAGGTTGTTTAATCATTTGTTATATTCAACTCTTTGACATTATGCAGGGGCGTTAGCGCAATTTCATTTCCTACTCATGGTCTACGCATTTACACTGCTGGTGCTGATGGAATGGTTTGTGAACTCGATTCAATGTCAGGAAACTTATTGCGAAAGTTCAATGCTTCTTCTAGCAAAGCAATATCTTCTATTTCCGTTTCACCAGGTATCTACGTACCTTATGACTTTGTTTGTAATTGAATGAACTTCTTCCTCATGATATAGTTGAGAAATTTTTAGCAACAAAATTCAGTAATCTCCTGGTCGATTTTCAGAATGGTTATCATGAAACTTGGGTGTGTATGTTACGGAGATAGAGTAGTTTGTGGAGGGAAATTGAATCCATTACCAAGATTAGCATGCTAAAATACGTAATTATATTACAATATATGTGATTACTGCTCATTAATGACTGTCTAAAACAAATGCATTATCATTGGTTATCCAAAGGAAATGTTGTTTTTCATTATCAATTATGAGCGAACTAAAGATTAATTTGTGAAATTATTGTCTAAGAAATCCTTAAGATAACACTGTTCCCTTGTGGTAGCAAGAAATAGCATAAACAGAATAGTGTGCATTACTGGGCAACTTCCTGCTTTTTTTGATACTTTGTAAATGTACTGTTGCACGATTAGAAAAAAGTACAAAAGACAAATGGGTCATTTGTTATTTTTGAATGTAATTCGTTGCTTCTGGTGATGTGAGATGTCTAGTAAGACAAATAATAGGTCCATAGAGAAAGGTTTTGACTGTGATATATATGCTTTCTTGTTGGCTGAATTGATGCCAATCTAAATATTAATAACCTGCTACCACCTTTTTATATTAGCATTTGAATGTTACAATATAGGACTTAAAGTAATTGATTATGTTACTTTCTTTCTTGGGTGGATATCCTCCAAATCAGATGGAAAATGGATAGCAACTGCAGCGGCCCAATTAAAGATTTTCAATGCCTCAAATCACAAGAAAGTGCAGAAGTTTTCGGGCCATCCTGTGAGATTCTTCCGTTTTCTTTTAATTATTGTATATGTCTTTTTGTTTGACCTGCTTTTCCTTTATTGACAGTAATAGAGATAATTTTCTGACTTTTCATTTCACCTATGGCTTATAAATTGTTTGTCGGTAACTAGGGAGCTGTTAGATGTATGATTTTCTCTGAAGATGGGAAATATGTGCTTTCTTCTTCTGTGGGTGAAAGATATGTTGCAATCTGGAAAATTGACGGCAGCAAAACCAAATCGGCATGTGCATTTATTACAATGGATCACCCTGCTATATTCTTGGATAGCAGGTGCATTAGTAGCAGTGATCCAGATGATGAGGGTCTATGTATTTTGGGTATATCAGAAATGGGTGTGTGTTATTTTTGGCATGGAAAGACAATTGATGAAGTACGCAATTCCAAACCCACAAAGATCAGCATATCTGATGATGATGGAGTTTTAAAGAAACACAAGAGAGCAATTCCTAATGTATTTGCTGCAAAGCTACAAATGGTTTCTGAGCCTGCTTGTGGTCACGTGTTTCTTGCCTATGGTTTCCTAATAAAACCATCATTTGAGAATGTTCTGGTGCACTCTGGAGCAGACTTAAAGTTAAATAGTTCAGATGATGGAATCCTTCTACCCATCAGTCAATCCCACAAGTCAAAGAAAACATCCAAAAGGCAGAATCAAGGTAAGGCAATTTTCTCTTACTTTCTCTAATATTCTAGTTGTCATTACCTTGGTTTGAATGATATGGTGTGGTTGTGATTCCACTGAAAGAATTTTGTCTGGGAGATTGGATTCTACCAAAAAAGAGTTGCAATCTTGGTATTTATAGTTTCAGTCCAATTTTGTGTACCAAATATGTGTTATTAGGTTTATTATTGGCTATATTAATTATTAAAGGAAAAACTGTGAAGGAAGAAAACTGTCTATGCCTTGTCTACATGCCTTTGGTACTGTATTAATTATTAAAGGAAAAACTCATACTATATTTAATATAAGGAAGAAAATTGTCTGTCTTGTCTACATGCCTTTGGTACTCTCTTGCAGTTGCCTGCATTACCAGGCTTTCCCAGTACATACTGTGTTTTGGACAGTTACTTCTTGAATACATCAAATTTAGCCTGTGTTTGAGACCCGTTAAAATGCATTTTTATGTCACTTTTCAATTTTTTCTACAGTAATTCTTAATTTTTTAATCTGCCAGGACAGTGTCAGTCAGTCAAAAGAAAGAGCCGTTGCAAATAAGGACCGTTATGCCCTCCACTTTATTTGACAATTTACAATTCCACCCTCAACCACTTTTTCCTCCATTGAAATCCAAATGGGCTTTTTTGGAAAGTTTTTCTACATAATTTATTACTGCGCATGGCAGGTACTCTCTTTCAGAGAATTGGTCAGTTTCATCTGATAATTGTACGAAATGTTGAAAAATTTGAGGCAAAAAAATTGGAAAAAACGGGTGCCAAACACACGCTTAAAATAACTTAGAATTTCCACTGTCTTAGTGCGTCTATGAAGATAAATAATACATGTGCACTATATGAAAGTATGATAGCTCAAATAGCTCATTTCATCCTAACTTAATATGAAGTATGAACAGACCAATTTGAAAAGTAAGCCCTTATAGTTCCTTTTAGATTCATCTTTCATCAGTAATGAAAACTCTCACGGGGTTAATAATGGTAAATTGGATTCACCTATCAGTATTTTGCATCAATCTTTATTGTAGATCTTTCTGACGTGCAAATGCTACTTTCTTAGTTTTCAGTTTGACTTTGTATATCAACTGTCAAATACTATTATAGTATCATATGAAATATGTTCCTTTTATTTGAAATATCAAGTTCATGACTAGTATACGTTGTGATGTGTTGTTATGATGACAAGCAGTTACTGCTCTGGATCGTGCAAATGCTGAGGGTGCATTGCTTCCTAAGCCCAAAGTTTTGGATTTGTTGGATGGAAAGAATGGATCTAATTCTCTGGCAAATAAAGGTGCTTAAAAATTAAAACTCTCTCCTGAAGTTGCCACATTACATATTTCAGGTCGATGAGCCTTTATTTTTTGACTCCACATTTTCTCAGTTGGCATCATGAATGCGGATTTTTTTTTCCAGACATTATGATAATTTACAACGGAGTAAATGCATCAATTAAGATATGATTGAATTAAAATAATTACTGTTCATTGACTCTTTGTCTGCATGGCAGGTAACTTAAATTATGTAGTTTACTTGTGTACATAAACTTATATGTATTATAAGGTTAACAAAATAAGATTTTCATAATGGTACAGCAATGATTATATGTTTGATGACATCAATATAAACGATGTTTTATTTTTCTCTTATATAAACAATAGACAAGTATCTTTATTAGATTACACCAATATTGAGCACCATCATTGATTCTGAGTCTTTCGTTTTATAATATTCACATCTTGGAATTTTTTGGGTGGATATAAGTAATAAACATTAAATAAAGGGGGTTAAATGCATAATCCTATAATATATTTCTCCTGCATGAAAGATCTAGTTTATTTGTTACCGAGGATGCAGATAAAATAGATGTTGATACTGGAACACTATGCATGGAGGACAAGCTCAGATCTTTAGGGATGCTTGGTAATATCGATTCCACGCTTAGCTCAAATTTGGATTCAAAAATGTTGAAGGGTATTGATCTTGAAGCTACTGTGCCGTTAAAAAAGGTTTATCTCTTGTGTGCATACTTTTTGATTATCTAATTTGTTGTATGCAAAATCGATCTTTTTCATAACTGCACGTTTTTATTTTAGGTAAAGGCAGCAATCTTATCCATGGAACCTGATGATGCTTTCAACTTGCTAAAAACCTTGGTGGATGTCTGGCTATCCAGGTATGCTATTTTAAATTTCTTAACCGTAAATTATTTGTATACGACATGTTAATAGCACAGGTATGACTTTGTGAGCAAAGAAAAAAGTTCTCTTTTTGGAAATGAAAGTGAAAGATGATGTAGACTCAAAAACACTTTGAATTTGTATAAGCTTATAAATAGATAAAAATAAGTGATAGACTAGTGGATAATAAGTCCATTGGAATATGTGTTGATAATGAAATTTGACTATTTATCAATTTTGCCAAACAGAAGCTAAATTGTCATTACTTCTTCTGAGTTATATGTTTTGTGCTTGTTTCGTGTTATTGTTTTGCTCAAACTTTATTTGGCCAGATCTCGCAGTGGGAAGCTCATTCTTCCATGGATACGATGTATATTGGTGTATCACGGCAATTATGTTAAATCTCAGGAACCAAAACTTCTAGATTCCTTGTACGAGGTACACTGTGAAAGTTGTTTTATACTTTGTTCCTCCATCTGTCATTTGGTTTACCTTTGCTCTCACAAGTTCAAATTCGACGTGCAATATTTATTCTTCAATTCACTTCTCGATTTATGTGTCTATGTACATGTTAGAGGTTATTTTATGAACTTGATATAATTTTTTCTCTCTGATTTTAGTTTTGATCCTTTCGGTAAGTCATATCAGACGCATTATCTGTTGTTTATTCTTCAGCTTACCAACTCAAAAGGTGTAGCCATGAGCTCTTTATTCCAGTTGTCTGGTCGTCTGCAACTTGTATCAGCGCAGGTTAATTCTTTTAAATGTTACTTGAAATGTAAATTGTTTGGTTATACTTTTCAACATAATCTTACGCTTTGAGTTTTTCTTTGGATTAACAAGGCAACTAATTATAAAAATCACGTCGTGGAACACAATGAGCAGATGGAAGAAAATGAAGTTGAAGATGTTGATGAAGTTTTTTATGACGTTAATGAAGATTCTCAAACTAGTAGTGGCAGTGATAATTAGGCGTGACATAAGGCAAACGTTTCACTGCGTAATTTGTGTTGTATTGTTTTATCTTCATAGTTCTTCGGGGCAAAAAAATTTTGTTTTCTGATATTTAATGTGGAAGAACGAAAAATTAATATAAAACGAGTTTTTTAAGGATTGTGTGTATATTCGACTATGCGAGTTCTTACTTTCAGTAATTCATGAGTTACACATTATTTTCAAAATTGATGTCTCTTCTTTTCAACGATGCATTTTTCAATTAAATAATATTACGCGCAAATCTTCAAATTTTTCTTATTTTTTAGTCACACATTCTCTATTAATCTACCATTTTAAAATGCATTTTTCATAATTTCAGCAAAATAGAGATGCAGAGTTTTACATTCTCGCAGAGAGTTTACATTCTCATCTATAAGAGTTTATTCATTACCGTACTAGTTACATTTTCCGCTTTCCAAGTGACTCTTTGTGTTCTGGTTCGTGTCTTCATTTCTGCAATTTTGTGATTGAGCAAGCAACTTCAACAGGATCCTAACAATTTGGTATTAGAGCATTAAATCTCGGACAATTGTGAATTCAACAGTCTCTATACAGACAACAACTATTCATTCCTAGTTGCAGCAGAAGAGAAGCCTCTCCAGTAGCAGCTGAAGTATCAATTGTAGGAACATGAGCAGTATCAAGTTCAAAAGATTTTTCTTACATCAAATCCAAAGTAGGGGCCTCATCAGCAACAGAAAGACATCACTAGCATTATCTATTTGACACCGGGGAAATGAATCTCACTAGCATCATTGGAAGCGAGAATTGACCACATGCAGTTGGAGCTAGGCGCATTGAAGTCCGAATTTAAGAGGAAGATCTATCATGAGGGAGATGATGATGGAGAAATTGGATGGGAAGGAACGCGAGGAAAAGGGAGTGGTAGCTAATTCACCCAAAATCGCACGAATCGGGGTACGTGCAGACAGTGGAAATCGTTGGGAGGAAACTGTTGGGAAAATTGGGTTTTATTAGTTGGTTTCACTAACTTTTGACCAATTATTTTAGTGAGTCTCTTTAGTTGTACACTAGATTTCTTTGGTCGATAATGTTCTACTCTATGAGTATATTAATGTAATGTATTTATTTTCTCAAATCCAATTTAGGGTGAATGAGAAATTCAGGTCAAATGATGACCACTTGAAAAATAAATTGGAATAAAAATTGGTAGGAAATTAGAAAAATATCAATCATACGTAGGAAAGCTAGAAGAGTATAAACTATTTTATATTGCTCAAGTTTGAAACTTGAGTTTGGGGTACTAAGGGGTACAAGTAGTCTTTTGGGAGAAGAGAACCTACATGCTAGTAGATTGAGTCAATCTATAATTTAGGTTATGAAGATGAGAACTATGTTTTGAATTAATGTTTTTTTGTTGTACGTATACCTGAAATTATGTTTTGTTGCCTTACAATTGAATCAAATTATGCTTAATAAATGGTTGAAGATGGACTTTTGGATAGCAAAAAACATGTTTTGGAATGTTTACCCGACTAAGCACATAGCTCCTGGGCACTGGGTGTAGTGCTCGGGCGTTGCGATGTAGCTCCTAGGCGATGTACCTAGCGCCCAAGCGATGTAACAATAGCGCCTAGGCTCTGCAACAGTAACATGATCACGATTTTTCCGTTTTATCCGGATTTTGGGACTTCTTTTCCATCTTGAACTCCAGTAAGAGGATTTATATATATTTTCACATTGTATCTCTATATAATAACATTCATATATTATTCTTTAACATCTTCAACAACATATTGAGAGATTAAGAGTTTAGATTTCAATTGATTTGTATCTCCATATTATAACATTCTCATATTATTCTTTACATATTCAACAATATATTGAGATATTGAGAGCTTAGATTTCAATTGAAATTATTGAAATTTTGATATTGTAAATACAAAACTATTAATTATAGTGGATTACTCTCATCTGCCCGTAGTTTTTTCCCGAATTAGATTTCCACGTAAATTATTGTGTCTTGTTTTCTTCTTTTTTATTTCATTATCGTCATTATCTTGCGTTCCGTTTCATAACACCAACATACTACTACCAAACACTAATAACAAACTACACATTCAAAACACAATACCTACTACTTTTTTCCTACAATTCCACTCATAAACAACATCCTACCAACTAAAAGACATAAATTTATGACATAGTCTTCACTTTTTAGGATTGCATCAACCACGGCTAGAAATTAGGATTTGAATCAACCACTGTTGGAAAAATTGGTTTTATTAGTTGGTTTGACAATCTTTTGACCAATTATTTTAGTGCGCCCCGTTAGTTGGACAAAATATTTCTTTGACCAAGTGTGTTCTACTCCATGAGTAGATTAATTTAATGTATTTATTTTTTCAAAACCAATTTAGGGTGAATGAGAAATTAAGGTAAAAAAATGATCATTTGAAGTTGAAATAAATTGGTGGAAATTGAAAATTGTCAACCCCACATAGGAAAGTTAGAATAGTATAAACCACTTTATATTGTTCAAGTTTGGGACTTGTAGGTTTGGGCGGAGTGCCATAGTTTTTTGAAGGGGGAGAGAATCCACATGCTAGTAGGTTGGGCCAAAACCCACATGTGCGCTCCACCATAGCCGCTCGACCAGCCGACACGGGTCGTGAGCTTGGGTTTGGGACAAGCTGGTATATATTTTTTGGTAAAATAATATTTAATTTATATTATTTTATTATTATTTAAAATAATAATATATTAATTTATATTATTTTTTCCCGATTTTTTTGTGCGTGGATTCTTCTAGAAGATGGCAGTGACAATTAAAACTATCTGTCCAAACAGATTGTATGTTGAAGACACAACTTTTCGACTATTATTCCTTTTGGACACAACCTTTTAGTTGTTGTGCCTTTTGGACACAATCTTTCAACTTCTATAATTAGGTCTCTATACCCCGATCTTCATTCATTCCTAAAATTAGAACTGATTTTATTCTTCTTTCAAAATTATTCATTCGTCCTTGCATTATTCATATTTTGCAATGAAGCCTCAAAAAAGTTATTTTTGTGTATTTTGGTCCTCAAACTTTTAGAAAGATCACAACATGAGTGTTCGTCAGGTCTTGTAAGTGGAGTGCTATTATTACAAGTCGAGTCGTTGTATCTTGGGGGATGAGTGCCGGAATATCGTCAGCATCGGGGCGGGACATTATCGTCTTAAGAAGAAAGAGTCAAACTCTTGTCTTGACCATTAACATTTTATATCGGTTCATTTTTGTACAACGTTATATTGCTCAAATCAATTCACATTGATATAATTATTTGCCAACAAAAACTACCATAAGGAAAGGTGCACATTAATTGAAATCTTACCATTACCATCACCAAAGGAGGAGATCTCTGCAAGCCATGGAATCGGTCTCTATGAATTGGTCGAATCAGGTGAAGAACGAAGGAAAATTAATGGATTTAGGATGGTTGGACTTGGACCGAAAACTGGGCCATAAAATGGAGTTGAACCAAAGGGTTACAGATCAAGCCAATTTAAATTTTAACCCAAATAGAATTAAACTTAATTCTTCTAGCTCACCAGTCAATCATAACCCACGCTATTCTGCTTATCAGACTCCATCCAGTAGTAAGTTCTAGAACCCCTGCCGCCACAGCTTTCCGACCAGACATTCCGGCGAAGGGTGTTCCTCCATTTAAGAGGCTAACTGATGCGGAACTCTAATTGAAAAGGCAAAAAATGGTGGTGTTATCGTTGTGATGTCCTACTGGTTATGAGATTTGTCAAGAAAACATTCTAATTGCTTGTGTTACATTTTAGGTCTTCATTACAGTGCTAGTTACATTTTACAGAAGTAGAATTATGTTTTTAAAGGGACTCCTTGTGTTCCGATTTTAGGTCTTCATTTCTGCAATTGATTGTGATTGAGCAGCAACTTCATATCCTAATATATTAGTGTTTTCCTCACTCTTAACCACTATTTTTCTATCACACTAATTTTTTTCTTACTTGAAAAATCAGAGAGTAATATTAACATTTGGAGGTTAGCCTGCATATACATTGTCTATTTCTTTAAAGAAAGGCTTGATTAGTGGTGTATGACTATTTCCCAAGGTTCTTTATTGCGAACTAAATTCTTGGAATGGCCTAAAACTCATTGATTAGCACGTGTAACTCGTGGTACGGCTGATATTTATGCAACTTGTCAAATCAGGAAAGGAGTGTGCAAAAACGAGCATCCTTGAATCATGAAAGTGGCTAATAGCATAAACTAGATAACGCTTATGGAAGATATCATAATAAGTTTTACATACAATAGGAACTTCAGAGTTTGTTTTGGCAGATATACAACACGAAATGCTCAACTCTATTCTCTAACCCTTTCCGCGGCAATAAGCTTCCATAACTAGAATGTAATCTAGATAGGATGAACATTTCAGCTTATCAGTTGTAATCAAGAAAAGTTGATAGCAGGAGTCCTTGCACGAGTTCACATTTTCGAGCCATCTATAGAATGCATTTTTCACCTTATAAGATGTCATCCAGAAAAGTAGAGAGCACGAGTCCTTGGACAAATTCACATTTTTGAGCCTTCTCCTCATGGTCCTTGTCAGACAGCGGTAATTGTTGAACATTTTTGTTACTGAAATAATATGACTAAATGTGAGTTATTGTCATAATAATGCTTCAACAAATTAAAACAAGTTTCCGACAGCTTATGATAACATTGTCATGCCACTGGTTCGAAGGTAAAGATTGAACCAAGATATGATAAAGAATTCGAAACAATTACAAACGACGCAACCGATTCCCAAAAACACATTATGTCATGCATATATGTGGATATATATTTTAAAGACTATTGTCATGCCACTAGTTCGAAGGTAAAGATTGAACCAAGATATGATAAGGAATTTGAAACAATTACAAACGACACAACCGATTCTCAGAAACACATTACGTCCTGCATATGTGTGGATATATATTGTAAAGACTGC